GATGGATGGATGGATGGATGGATGGATGGATGGGACAGGTGTACCAAATAAAATGGCTGTTTAGTGTCTTTTGGAAAGTAAATAATACTTATTCAAACTGCAAACAAAACTACTATAGTAGTTATCTGTGTGGACACATGTGCTAAAACATTTGTAAATGTAAAAATGTAAATCAAGTGCTTTTAGTGTTTGAACAACTCACTCAGTTTCTCTTCAGGTTGTTTCTTAACATTCAGCTGTTTGATTGCTGTGTTTTGTGCCACATCTCTGTTATTTCCAATGACTTGAGATCTTGGCATGTCAGGATGATGTGTACTCTTCTGTTTTAAAAACAATGAAGAATATTTTAGTATTTATTATGAATAATTGGACTGTATTGGGTAAAGCATACATTTGTAATTTTGTATGTCATGCTGAACCATAGTATTTGCCACATTTCTAGCTTAATGACGGTGCTGGTGTAGAGTAATCTCAGATCAGTGACATATTCAAAACTTCCAGCAATGTAAAGCACAGTGAATCATTTAAATAAAATAATCTGTCTTGCCTCAGGAGGGATGTTAACAATACCCTTTACTTCTTTCATCATAGGTGTTACACTCGCTGAAAAAAGAGGAAGAGTTATTTTCATACACAAACAAGGTCTTTGTTATCCAAACATACCAATAGGAAATATATTGGAAATGTCACCTTTGATACCACTGCTGCCAGTATGGTTAGAGGCAACAGCAGGCACAGTCTCATCCTCATCATTATCATCTTCTTCATCCTCATCTTCCTCAGTGCTAGGCTCATCGTTACCGACATCAACTGCATCTATATCCTCATCTTCCTCTTCTCCATCGTCATCTATATCTTTAACATGATCTTCCTCACTCTCTTCTTCAGAAGAAGAGATAGAAATCTGTGTAGCTTCTTTATCTTCCCATTTATCTGCCCATACATCATCTTCATCCATATCCTCATCATCCTCTTCTCCATCCTCATTTTCTGTCGTGTCCGGGGTGGCGGACGTGTGGAGTTGAAGATGGGACCCAAAATGCAGCAGCTCTGATGCAGGTGAGTATTTATTGAACAGGAGTAGATACAAACAGAAGTGGCAGGTGAACATTAAACTGGAAAACCTAAACTGGGCAAAACTAACAAAACAAACCAGAATGAAGATGCAGGGAGGTACGGGGAAATACACAGAGAGACGGACGGCGAGATGCAGGAAGACCGAGGGGAACAACACAGACAAACCAGCAACTAACAGAGGCAGACACGAGGTTTAAATACACAGAAGGATAACGAGGGAATGAGACACAAAACGAGGGCACAGCTGGGAGTAATCCGACCTGACAAGACAGGGGAAAAGTAACCTTTACACACTGAGATCAGACACGGACCTTCAAAGTAAAACAGGAAACACATACACGTAATGACATAACACACCAACTTAACACAGACTGGGGGACACAGAACATAGGAACATGAACCATGAAACAGAAGAGTACCACCCAAGGTACCCAAAACCACAGAATAATAAT